TTCGCCCGCGACGCAGCCCGCGACCCACCCGCGACCCACCCGCGACCCACCCCGCGACCCACCTGCGACCCACCCGTGACCCACCTCGCGACCCACCCGCGACCCACCCCACGACCCACCCCGCGACCCACCCGCGACCTCCCAAGTCGGCGCCTGCGGCGGGCTCACTGCATAATTTGTGCAAGTCAGGCGCCTGCGGCGGGCTTCTTCAGAGCCTCGCACACTGCCGACGTCCTTGCCGCCCCCCCGCTCTTATCCGCAAGTGCGGCGTGCTACGTGCATACGCAGATATTTCCCAAACAGTGCCTGCGCTTACGGGTTCTCACTTGTTTCTGAGGTAGCTGGGCACGAGTGCCGCTCCGGCCGGCTCGTTGCCGCCCGTCGCCACTCGTCGCCGCCGCCGTCGCCGTTGGTGATTGGGCATGGGTGTCGGTCTGGCCGGCTCGTTGTCGCCCGTCGTCCCAAGTCGCCGCCGCCATCGCCGCTGGCAGTTGAGCCCCAATGGCGGTCCGCCAGGGTCGTCGCCGCCCGTCGCTGCCGTCGCCTCTGGATGTTGTTTGCATTGCAATTGCAGTCCTTTGCGTCGCTTCGCATCGCTTTGCGTTGCTCTCTGCATTGCTTTGAATTGCATTGCAACGGCTTTGCACCACATAGGCTGCACCATGAGGATTGCAGCACCTAGCTTGCACCATATTGGTTGCATCACCTAGATTGCACCGCGCAGATTGCAAGAAACGCTCAGTGGGGTCCACGCTGGCTAACACACATATAAACATATACACGTGGATATGTATATGTAAATGTGCACATACGTGTATTTGGTTGTGTGTGTGTGTGACCGCCGGGGCGTAGATGCGCGCGCCACGCTGTTTTCCGATCTTCTACGCCCTGTCGCCGCGCGCGGGGCCGCGACGCCCACAGTGTGTGTGTGTGTGTGTGTGCGTGCGTGCGTGCGTGCGTGCGTGTGTGTGTGTGTGTGTGCCCCCTCGTCTGACCCCCCCCCCGGTCATCTACGCCCAGATGACTTCTGGCCCGCTGCCAGCGCCGCTTGGCTCCAAGCGGCTTGAGGGCGGCTCGGCCGTCTAGACGCGCGTGCGCGCCCGCCTCTCTGACCTTTCTACGTCCTGTTGTTGCGCGCGCGGCCGCAACGAACCAAAGTGTGCGCGCGTGAGTGTGTGTGTGTGTGTGTGTGTGTGTGTGTGTGTGTGTGCGCTCGTGTGTGTGTGTGTGTGCGCTCGTGTGTGTGTGTGTGCGCTCGTGTGTGTGTGCGCTCGTGTGTGTGTGTGTGCGTGCGCGCGCGCGTGCGTGCGTGCGTGCGTGCGTGTGTGTGAGAAAGAGAGAGAGAGAGTGGTTGTGTGTATGCGAGCGTGCGCGCGTGTGTGTGAGTGTATGTGTGCGTGCGTGCGTGCCTGTGCGTGTGCGTGCGCGTGTGCGTGTGCGTGTGCGTGCGCGCCTGCGTGACGTGCCTTGCGGCTCCCGCAGGGTAGTCAGCGGCGAGCACGCGCTTTTTCGGCCTGCTGGCCGCCTACCTCCCCGCCCCTGGCGCCTGGGCTGGTCTTGCCGCCCGCGCCTTTCCCCGTCCCACTTTGCCCTTTGCAGGTGGGCTTCGCCGGCCCCACCCTTGCGGCACTGGCGCTTCTTTGGCTGTACGCTCTTCGTTACCTTGTCGGCTGACCTGGTCAGCATCTGCCCCCGCCGCCACTGGCCCCCCAAACCCCGCTGGTGCTGCTGGCCCCGCGGCGCTGACCGCCGCGTCACGCGCCCCTGGGAACGACCCGTGTCTTCCGAGCGGCCCCGACCCGTTTTCTTCTCCTCTCGGTTGTCGTTTCGTCCTAGCCGTGTGTGTGTGTGCCCGGCTCTCGGTCCGGGTCCCGGGTTCCTCCTCATTCCTCTTCCTACACTTCCTCGTTCTCCTCCTACACCTCCTCCTCCTCCTCCTCCTCCTCCTCCTCCTCGTCCTCCTCCCGTCCCCAGAGGAGGGCGATGACGGTCGCCTTGCGGCGGCTGCCGCGCCGCTCGGGGAGGACAGGGCGGAGCTCCTGTTCGCGTAGGTCGGGGAGGGAGCAGGAGCGCCTTGGTAGCAAGTCGTGGCAGCCGTACTCAAATAGCCTCCCAAAAATTAGCAAGACATCGCCACCATACTATGTTTTTTTGATTTCTGTTTGCAGATTCCTCCTGCAGAGGGACTGGCCGGACTTGACGCTACCCTTCCCTCGTTCTCCCCGTTCGTGGGCCTCGTCGCCACCGCTGGATTCGCCTCGACATCTGAGTCAGAACGCACCCCAGGAGACGTCCAGGGAGCAGCGGTATCGGTACCTTCTGGTTTCCCCCAGGACACTTCTTTTGTGACCGTGATGGGAAGGTCACACATGTCAAGGGGCCCTTGCGGACCTGACCTCCGTTCAGGGCTAAGAGGTTCAGGCCATTGTCAAAAGAGTGTCGCGTGTACAGTGAATCCGCAGTAGTATGGATGAACAACTTCCCCTTCCCCTTCGCCCCGTCCTTGGTACAGTCAATCCGCTGTTGTATGGATGAACAAGGTTCCCTTCCCCTTCGCCCCGTCCTTGGCCGCTATCGCTGGCCGCACCCCTCTCGCAAAGTGTCGGCATGGCCTTCCAGGGCCCTTGCGTCCTTACCGCGCGTCCTTCTGATACGGGTTGACTGTACCTTGCCAGGTCCGCCTTCAGCGTTTGCCAGCGTCTGGTAATCGTGGGGATGGCGCCGATGTTGTGTCGAGTAGCGTCGATCAGCTTCGATTTGTCATCGATGTGCGTCGATCGGCGTCGATCAGCGTCGATTCCGGAAGAGCCAACGAGGTGGCACGGGAGGCCCCCTTGGCTGTTCCTCTCCCGCCAGCTGAGCAGCGGGCCGTGCTAGCCGCCCTGCAGGCTCGCTAGCACTGGACTGTGGACCTCGGTGAGCTGCGGTGCGCCATCGGGGAGATCGCCAACAAACAACGGGAGGCTCTCTTGAGCTGCCGCGGAAGAGCGCACCAGTGGCACCGCGCGGCGGGGAGCCCGTCGGCGTGCCGCCCCGAGGCGCGGGGGCCGCAGCTCTGTCCACGCCGGGCGGTCTCGCCCAGTCCCGGGCCAGGAGGAGGAGGAGGAGGCGGAGGAGGAGCGAGGAGGAGGAGGAGGAGGAGGAGGAGGAGGCGGAGCGAGGAGCGATGAGCGAGGAGGAGGAGGAGGAGGCGGATGAGGAGCGAGGGGCGAGGAGCGAGAAGGAGCGAAAGGCGAGGAGCAAGGAGCGAAACGCGAGGAGCGAAACGCGAGGAGCGAAGAGGAGAAGGAGGAGGAGGAGCGAGGAGGAGGAGGAGGAGGAGGAGGAGGAGGAGCGAGGAGGAGGAGGAAGAGCCATCACATATCGATCCCGCTCGAGAGCCGCCGCAGACGGGCGGGCCCCAGTGCTCTCGGCAGTCATGCCTCGCGGTGCTGCCTCTTTGCTCGCAGCGTCCGATCTCTGGGTATCTGCCCCTCGCGGCTCCGCTCGCGAAAGCCCGATTCTCCCTCCTGCAGAGGGACAGGCCCGACTTGAGCGTGCGCGCCCGCTCCTGGGGCCAGGGCGGGCCAGGCCTCGGGCAGTGGAGAACCTGATGTCCGGGCCCCCCTCGTCCTCCATCGGGTCGTAGTGCCACTGCGCAGCTGTTCGGCCGCGCGCCGAATCGGCCACCGTCGACAGCACCAGTCCGTCGGAGCAGGGCGGTTTGAGACACGGGGCGTCCGCTCTGGTTCTCCCTCGGCAGGGGCGCGCCGATGGCTTCCTCGCGGCGGCGTTTCAGGGATGCGGCGGAGACCCATGCCAAGGCACACCCCGCCTGTCCCCTGGGTGCCCAGGAGTTTTCTTTGGTCTTGTTGGAGTTGCTGTGGGGGGCGTGGCGTTCCCACACCAACAGATCACGGGACGGCCAGGGGTGTCAGGGTTGGGTTTTCTTGTGGAAGGCTTCCTGTGGTCGAGCCCCTATCCCAGACCCCCGACGTCATGATTTTTTCATTACGTCGACCCCCTGAGGTCCCGACCCTTGCCCCAGGGCCGGCTTTGCATCCCGAGTCGTTTCCTGACGCTCTCGAGGCCAAGTGAGGGGCCCCGGAGGCCCGAAATTAGGAAGAACCTCCCGTCCTGATGTCTTCCTTACCCGAGGGGGTCTGGGACACTGCTCCTGCGCCCCCCCACCCCAAGGAGGGGCGCCGCCCCCCCCCGGCGAGGGTGACGGCGGCGCCGAGGGGGCCGCGCCGCGCGCCGCGCCCTGGCCGCAGAGGCACCGCGCCGGCGGCACGCCCGCGGCACGCCCGCGGCGCGGCGCGCGCCGTGGACGCGGTGCAGCGCGCGCCGCGGCGCGCCGCGTGCCGGCGGGCGGCCGCGTGCCGCGCGCCCCTCGGCTCCAGGCCTCCTATATTCGGGGGTGGACAAAACCCCCATCAGTGACACGTCGATTAGTGAATTGTCCGTTATCGGTTCTCGAGAGGGCGCCGCGGCCGTCATTTTCCAGGCTTGCGCCCGCCAGGTTTGGGCCTCAGGTCGTTTTTCACTAGACCACATTTTGCTAAAGGGAGGTCTGTCCATCTCCGATATATGGGGTCGGGGTAGATGGGGTCGGAGGATCGCGCCGCATCGGCGGTGCATCGGCGATGCGACTCGATGTGGGGCCCACTTCTCTCCACACCGACGTCCCCGATGCATCGCCGACCTCGCCGGTGCATCGGCGATGCGGCGAGATCCTTCGACCCCATCTATTCGGACCCCATCAAGGAGGCCTCTATCGTCTATCGGCCGCGCCGGCGGCGCGCCACGCGCCCCTCGGCCGCAGCGAGCGCGCCGGCGGCGCGGAGGGTCAGAGGAGGAACATGTAGCCATACCTCTACCCTGTGGCAGTTTTCTTTTCTTTTTGGGCCTCCGGGGGGGCCTCGTCGCCACCGCTGGATTCGCCTCGAAGTCCTGGTCAGAGCGCGCCCTGGGAGAGGTCCGGGAGGTAGCGGTATCGGTCCCTTTCGGTTTCCCCAGAGGGGGCGGCCAGTGCGGTGGGCGCCTTTGTTCAGGGGCCGCTGGAGGTGCCCCCAGGCCCAAAAGCGACCGCAGCTTTTTGCGCTCCATTTGGGAGCCCCTTGGGCCCCCCTGGGCCTCGTGAGGTGTGTGCTCCTCGGACGCCGGGCCGCTGCCATTTTTTTGGGATGCGTGGGCCCTGGAGGTCCGGACCACTTCCCTGTAGGGTCGCCTGGCATCGCTCGGACGTATGCATTTTTCCTTCGGCGAGGACCATCGAGGAGCATCTTTGTTGATCATTTCGCGAAAAAACCACGCACGAAACCGAAAAAAACACAAGAAATGGACGTCCGAGCGATGGCCAGGTCGGTGTTTCGTCCTGAGTTGTTTTTTTGACGCTCCCGAGGCCCGACGAAGGGGCCCCCGGAGGCAGAAGACAGTCTCAAAACCCGCCGCTCCAAGTTCTGTCGGAGCGTCGGACCTCTGGGTCTGGAGTCCGTGGAGGGCCTCCGTGGAGATCCTGGGGGCACCTTGGGCTGGGGGCGCTCCTGGCAGCACCGGGTTGGTCGCCCCAGGGAGGGGCGCCTCGCTTGGCGCTGTGTATGGCAGGCGTGATGGACATCTTGTGGAAGGTGTGCAGGCTGCTTGGTGGCGGGCGGCCCAGGGGTCGCCGCCGCCGCGAAGGATCGAAGAAGAGACAATTGCATGCAATCATCCATTTTCGGAGCTCACCCTTGATTTCGTCGATCGGCGCTGCGCCCCCCCCCCCCCCAGAGCGCTCCGCGCGCCCGGGGGGGGTCCAGCGTGGATGCAGGACACTCGCGCGCTCCGAAGGCCCGTGTTTCTGCCGCTGCTGGTTCTTCTGCAGGGGAGCAGCACCGAGGCCCCACACGAGCCTGGCTTTGGGTCGGACATGTCCCCCTACAGGCGGCGTTTGGGCGAAAACCTGAAAAGCAGTTCACACCTAGTAAGAAAAAGGCTCCAAAAATAATCAAGACATCGTTCCCAGACGATTGTTGGTCGAGGGACACGCCCGACTCGAGCCTGGCTCCACTGCTCCTCGGGTACTGCCGAAGGCGTGCGCACAGTGGCAGGCCGCTTCCCGCGGCGCTCGGGCCCTGCGCGCGGCCGCCCCCTGCGGGCTCGCCGACCTGGCTGACCCCCAAGAGGCGAGGGGGCGGCGTGGCGCCCGCGGCGAGGGGCGGCCGCTCCCCCGCGGCGTGCCGCGGAAGGGTCGGCGGGTGCCCACGGCGCGCCGGCGCGGGTCGAGAAAAGAGCAGCTCGGGGCTCAATGTTTCATCTTCCTCCTCCTCCTCGTCCTCCTCCTCGTCCTCCTCCGTCCTCCTCCTCCTCCTCCTCATCCTCATCCCCATCCTCTCCTCCCCCTCCTCCTCCTCCTCCTCCTCCTCCTCCTCCTGCTCCATTCCTAGTCCTCATACATTACCCTGTGCGCCTGATATTAGTCCCCTGGGGATAAGAAAGTTCGAGGTCTGGGGGGGGGAACAGTTTCCCCGGAGGTCGCAACATTATGATGAAGATGACGACGATGATGATGATAAGGATAATCTTGGACGCTACATCGAACAATTAATGTATTATTCGGATAATGTTGGAACTCCTTGGGACTTCTTTGGGAATCCATGGGATTCCTTTGGACATCCTTCGGGTTCCTTAGGAGATCCATCGCATTTTTTGCAGGAATGCATCAGGTTCCAAAGGAAATCCTGAGGATCCTTAGGACATCCGGAGGGTTACGGATAACGTCCATAGGACTCCTCTTGACTTCTACAGGAGGAAGACGAGGAGGAGGAGGAGGAGGAGGATAATCCCCGGGACCAGATTTCCAGAGTAATTTCGATTCTGGACCGTAGGTTTTCTTATGTGTACAACTCACTTGTAATTATCCGTTTCCAGTAGCACTTGTGTAGGAAGGAGTCCATGGCGGTCCGTTTGCGGTGATAATCATAATGCTAATTTTGATGGTAATATAGACGATTAATACGAATACTATTCATACAAGTAATATTTAGATATATATATATATATATATATATATATATATATACGTGATAAAAAAGTTCGGGGCGGGAGCGCAATGTGGAGGAGGGAGAGGATTACGTAGGACATACAGAGGGTGCTTTAGGACATCCATAGGATTCCTTAGGACGTCCATAGGAATCCTTAGGACATCCATCGGGTCGCTTAGGACATCCATATAAATTCCCAGGAACGTCATAGGAATCCTTTTGAATCCTTGCTACTCAACATAAGAATATCGCAACTTCGCTTCGCAATTTTCCCCCGCGATAAAAGTGTTCGGCCTTGCCGCCACTTTTCCCCGACCGAATCTGTATTGACCTGGGATATTCAAGTCTCGCGTGGGAAGGGGGGGGGTATGAATTGATATCCAGGGCTGTGGATTAGCTTCTCCTGTCGCACCCCGAGGCCAGTTCGAAGGGCGGGCCATGCGTTTCACCTGAGACTTCCTTTTCACCTGTGACCCCGAAGCATAAAACATAGCAACCGTTTCACGGATCGCTGGGGGGTGGTCTTCAAAATGTGGTTCTCGCCTTAACGCCGCGCAAAGTCGTTTCAAAACTATGCAAGAGCTTTACGGATTGAGGGCCACCCATTTTCAACAGGTGGTTCGCGCGTTAGCGCCGCGCATTTTCCTTTCAAGTAAACACTTGCAAGTGTTTCACGGGTTGTGGGCCACCCGTCTTGAAATTATGGTTCTCGTTTCAGCGTTGCGCACATTCGTTTTTTACACTTGTGCATGTGATTCACGGATTGGGGGCGGCTCTTGTTCAAAGTGTGGTTCTCGCTTTAGCGCCGCGCACATTCGTTAACAACGCTTAAAAGAATTTCACCGATCCCTATGGCCAAGGTGTCAGGAACGGTGGTTTGAGAGGGTTCAGGATTAATTATGCGGGTGCAACAGTTACGTTGGTTCGCGGCGTTGAAGTCCCAGCAGTGGCGTTCTGTTGCGGTTCAGGACCTTCAACACGTTACGGTCAGGTTGATCCTTAGCGCTGGACTCCCGAGAGCAATGTTTCGGCATGCGTCAGGGTCTTCAAATTGTTGTCTTCCAGCGAGGCAGTTCCTTCGATAGCAATGAACCTTGTGTAGGGGCCTGTGAAGGGGGAGCTTGGGGGGAGGGTTTATTCCAACATCGATGATGCTTGTTGGGTCTACGTACACTGGTCGTCGTCCTCCTCCTCCGTTTCCTAATCCCCCTCCTCTTCCCTCTTCCTTCCTCCCTCCTCCCTCTCCCCTCCTCCGTCCTCCCTCCTCCTCCACCTCCTCCTCCTCCTCCACCTCCTCCTCCCTCCTGTCCCTCCTCCCTCCTCCTCCTCCTCCTCTCCTCCTCCTCTTCCTCCTCCCCCTCCTCCTCATCCCTCTCCTCCCCCTCCTTCCTCCTCCCTCTTCTCTCTTCGCTTCTCCTCTTCCTCCTCCTCCCTCTACATTCTCACTCCTCTTCCTCTCTCCTCCCTCCTCCCTCCTTCTCCCTCTTTCCTCCTCCCTTCCCCCCTCCCCCCTCCCCCTCCCCCACTCCTCTCTCCTCCTTCCCTCCTCGCTCCTCCCTTCTCCCTCCTCCCTACGCCCCCCTCACTCCTCCTCCTCCTCCTCCTCCTCCTCCTCCTCCTCCTCCTCCTCTCCTCCTCCTTCTCCTCCTGCTCCTCCGCCTCCTCCTCGTCCTCCTCCTCGTCCTCCTCCTTCCTCCCCCCTCCCCAACCTCCCTCAGTCAGCCCTCTTCCCTCCTTCCTCCTCCTCCCCCTCCTCCCCCTCCTTATCCTCCTCCTCCTCCTCCACCTCCACCCCTCCTCATCCTCATCCTCATCCTTCTCCTCCTCCTCCGCCTCTTCCTCTTCCTGAGAGAAGAGGAGACAGGAGCCTGGTCCGAGCGATCGGTTTCGGCTTGCCCGGGCCAGCTTTTTCCTAGGGTGCAGGAGGAGGATGAGGAGGAGCAATAGGAGGAGGAGGAGGAGGAGGAGGAGGAGGAGGCGGAGCAAGAACAGGAGGAGGAGGAGCAAGTGAAGTGGGAGGAGGACGAGGAGGAGGAGAAGGAGGAGGAGGAGGAGGATCAAGAGGAGGATGAGGAGGAGGATGAGGAGGAGGATGAGGATGAGGAGGAGGAGGAGGAGCAAGAACAGGAGGAGGAGCAAGTGGAGTCGGAGGAGGAGGAGGAGGAGGAGGATCAAGAGGTTCAGGAGGAGGAGGAGGAGCAAGAGGAGCAAGAGGAGGAGGAGGATGAGGAGGAGGAAGAGGAGGAGGAGGAGGAGCAAGAGGAGGAGTGGGAGAAGATGAGGGAGGAGGAATGCACGACTGCGGAAGATCTCGCTGCGCCCCGAGGGCGGCCCGCGCTCCGCGCGGGTCGAGAATCGGCGAGCACGGGCCGGCCCCCCTGGGGGCCAGGCCTCGGGCCACCCAGGGCCACCAGAACTCGACCCTCTCGACCGAGGGGAATGCTGCTGATGATGATGATGCTGATGGTGATGATGATGATGATGATGATGATGATGATGATGATGATGATGATGATGATGATGATGATGATGATGATGATGATAGTGGTGGTGGTGGTGGTGGTGGTGGTGGTGGTGGTGGTGGTGATGACAAGGATGCTGATGACGGCAATTACGATGGTTATGATGATCATGAGCAGGATGATGGCGATGATGACGATGTTGTTGCTGCTGCTGCTGCTGCTGATGATGATGATGATGATGATGATAGTGGTGGTGGTGGTGGATATGATGAGAATACTGATTATGCTGCTGCTGATGATGATGATGACGCTGATGGTGGTGATACGGTTCACGATGTTGATGATGATGATGATGATGATGATGATGATGATGATGATGATGATGATGATGATGATGCTGAAGCTGATGCTGATGCTGATGCTGATGATGATTGTGATGGTGATGGTGATGGTGCCGGTGATGGTGACGGTGATGGTGACGGTGATGGTGATGGTGATGGTGGGGGTGGGGGTGGTGTTGATGATCATGATGATGAGGAGGAGGAGGATGCCGGTGATGATGATACTGATGGTGATGAGGAGTATGAGTTCGAGGAGGAGGAGGAGGAGAAGCAGCAGGAGCGAAGGAGCGGAGGAGGGCGAAGTCGGTGGCGCAGGAAGAGGAGAATGATGAGCGGGAGGCGTGATGACGAGGAGAAGCATCCAGAGGGATGAGGACGATGAGGACGAGCAAGGAGGCGGAGGAGGGATAATATGGATGCGGAGGATCAGGAGGTTCCACGACGACGACGATGATGATGATAATGGTGATGGTGATGGTGATGATGATGATGATGATGAGAAGGATGATGATGGTGATGGTGATGTTGATGTTGATGGTGATGATGATGCTGATGGTGATTGTGATGGTGAGGATGATGATGTTGCTGATGCTGATGCTGCTAGGCGATGTTGATGATAGTGGTTACGTTGATCATGATTATTGTGGTGCTGATGATTCGACTCTCCCCATGATGATGATTATTAGGGGCAGGAGGGGGGGAGAAGGAGGAGGACGAGGAGGAGCAGGAGGCATGGTGATGAGGAGGAGGCATGAGTGGGAGGAGGTGGGGAAGGAGGCGTGATGATGAAAGGAGGAGGAGGAGGCAGAGAAGGACGAGCAGGGGGGTTGTAGATGGGAGAACGCAGAGCACTG